CATGAGGGCACCCTCGTCGGTGGTGGGGCACGGCCGTGTGTGGCTTGCTGGAGCTGCCACACAATCTCTGTCTTGCTCCATTCAACCCCAAGTCCAGGCTTGCTGCCAGACCAGCACACGCTCCCTTCCCAACAGGGCAGCCCCACACTGGCAGCGTGCAGGTGATTTGGGGTGACCCTGCCCTGCCAATGGCTTCCCTAGCCCGGCAGCGCAGGAGGTAAGCCCTGGATGCACTGGTTAATCAGTGTATCACCCCATTAGCATTCATAGACAAATCACAAGTGAGGCAAAGCAACACCAGGCTGGAGCATGAAGGTTTCGAGGGTGACAGCAGCCCTGGCCACCGTGCAGGAGGTTGGGGATGCTGGGTCAGGCACAGCAGGATTGGGACAAGCAGCTTTTGAGACACAGCACTTTGTGGTATGGTGGTACCCATCGCTGCGATTGATCACAGCGGATCCCTGCACACAGAGCCCGATAAATAACTTAGTCTTGCTTTTGAAGGAGTGAATGCGTGCTGTGTCACCAAGGAAAGAGGTCCAGTGGTGGGGCTGGGTGATGGGGTCAGCCCCATGCCTCGAAGATGAGGAATGGCAATTACAGTTTATGCACACAGAGACTTGACAGGTCTGTGTCTTGTGGAAGATTTTCTTTCTGATATATCAAATGCATTAATTTTTAGAGATAATATCAATATCATTATCCATTGATAGAAATTAGGACCTCTAAGGAACCCTTTTTGGGGTCCTGCTGATGGGAGTTTAAAACAGTGCCTTGCCTGGCAGGCAAAGCGCCATACATACAGCTGATTCAAATCCCTTGTATGGGGCACTGATTGCATATGTTGGTGGATTTGTCCCTGAATTACACAAAAGAAAAATCCCCCATGTCAACATAATTCAGGATACGGACCTGCTCCTCTGTCAGTGCTGTGGCTGTAGTGACCTGCTGTCGGTGGCATGTTCCCCAGCACCACACACGCTGGAGTGGGAGAAGACATCTGCCTGATAGCTTGTTCACAGATGCTTACAGAGCCCCACATTTCTCACATAAATGCAGCAAATCCTGAAATTGGTATAAAATGAGAACGGAGACCAGAAGGACCAGGGATACCTAATTCTGTGCTTTTCTTGCCTGGAATATGAAAGCATACTCAGACCTGTCATGCCTCAAATGAGTCTGTAATTGCCCAACTTCCATGTCACTGGTGGTGTTCCAGCTCTTACAACACCCCATATTACTTAATGAGATACTGGCTGTGTAGCTGTTTTTCCCAGTTGATACACTATGTAGTGCTATGGAAGGAAAGAAGGTAACAGCAGCTTATTTCCTCATTTAAAAAAAAGAACAAAACAAAACCCCCAAACAAACAGGAACCAATTTCCCAGTGAAAAGCTATTTTTCTGGGCAACAGCCCTGACCTGGAGGAAGGTCTTTGGTGCTGGGAGAAGCCTCGTGGTGCCTGTGGGGTGTGAGGTGGGAGCAGGCTGGGGCTGCCCTCTGGCCAGGGGGCAAGGAGGGGGCTACCTCACCTCCCTGTTTCTGCATCCCCACTGCTGCTGGGCACCTATAATGTCCTTGAGTCTTTCTTCCAGGCAGGCAGCAGCTGACATCCCATGCAGAAGCTCACCCCCAGCGGTTTTAGTGCCTGCTGAAGCCCTGCCTGTGATGGCTCTGGGCCAGGCTGAGATTTTCTCATGCCTCAGGACTCCCTGCCTGGCATGTCCACACTTCAGGGGAAGGTGAGATCACAGTCCCCACCTCAGTTTCTCTTTTTCTGTTGTACTGTGAGACAAAGGAATAGGTGACATCCTTGCATGCATTAGGATATATTATATTTCCTTGGTTTATCT